TTTGCGAGATAACCAGCGCAAATAGGGATTCATCTTCGCTTCAAATAAATTTATCAACTCTTTTAATGAACGCCGACGAATATTATTATATTGAAATCTGAAATACTCATTTTGAATTCTTTGCCATAGACGTAAATCGGGCAAGTGAGTACTGCATCACTCTAAAAATGATTAATATAACTTTGAAATCTTATGACTTTTATGACAAAAGGGAAAATTGAAGAATGTCGTTATCTTGATTAATATATTTCAAAGATGGACGCCAGAGCTGAGATTTGAGGCGACGAACGAATCTTAACGCGCTTTTAAAAAATTGTTTACTGCATTAATCTTACACCGTTCAGTATTTTCGAAATGAGGAATCCGGTAACAGAATGAAAGGTGGCAGGAGAACCTCATGATTCCGTTTCTTTGAGTTTTTATTTATTTATTTATTTATCTTCCGCTCTCACGAGAACTCATTAAAATCTCGTTGAAAGTGATTGAGACTGAATAGTTTTCAATTTTGTTTTTTTCACTGGGCTAAATTTCAAATACGGCGGGCCTGATTGCGAGAATCACCAATCCTTTTGTCACGGCACCCGATAAAGATTTTATTATCTCTTTCTCACGCTTTTACCCCATACGGGTCTGTCTCTCAATGCGGTCAGATGACGCCAATTGTAAGTAGAGAGTTGCGTGGTTGAAGACACTTTTTCACTTTTTTATTAGCATTTTAATAAGAGTGTTTATGCAAGAATGTTCTAAATTGCATAATATATATATATATATATATATATATATATATATATATATATATATATATTCTGTTTATGGATTATTTTTAATAATAGATACAATTTATTTAAGTAAATGCTCTCATTTCTTAAATAAACAGTATTAATTACATTACTGGCCTGAATATTCACGACATTTTGTAGAAAATATGCGTTCTCCAAGAGAAATGGAACCTGAGTCCTATACGGAACCGTCATTTGATCTGACGTGCTATACCACTAAGTTACAGAGCAGTGTCTGGTTAACAAAGTCAAAATTACTTTTTATAAACAACAAATTTTCGACGATCTTTCCCGAAAAATCATATCGGCTCACGAAACATACCTTAACATAAACATTGACAACATATTATGAAATGGATTAAGTCCGACAATTATTTAATATATATTCTGTTTATAAGTTATTTTAATAGATACAATTTATTTAAGTAAATTCCCTGCTAACCCATTTCTATTTAATATTGAAAATTGGGGGCTCACGGTAATATTTTAGGGGTACATAAAGCAATTTCACTTCGGAACGGTTGAGTTGGAATTCCTACAGTAATCTACGCCATATTAAAATAATAAACATAGAAAACTAACTCTAAAACGAGATAAGGTGATGTAATTTAGCATCCTTTTACTCTGCTGGATGTTTTGATTGTAAAAGTTGAATAAAAACAGAGAAAGATATATAAAGGGAGGATTATATAAAATAATGGACTCTCCCATCGGTTTCGACGTATGAGGATCTGACAGCTTAATTGATTCGGTTATGAAATTTTGTGTGATAATCTTAAGTGGCATTTAAGACCCGCTAGTAATTTACAAAGGAGGCCACATATGATGCAAGAGTGAGGATTGTGAGATGAGATCACTGTTAGATTGGCTGACCTTTAGATCTTGCTCTCGCTTCTTGAAGATGATTCAGACAAGCAGATTGAAAATTGCTGAGTCCACTAAAACACGTTGATCTCCATTCTACCCTCTCCAAGGCTAAGCGCTCAAGGGTGTTATGTGGTATATTGACAGCTGACAAGTTGCTTTTCAGTTTGTCTTTTTTTCTTTACCATGGGCGTCCTACATTACTGTCGCGCTGATCTCACTGGCTGTACATTAGGATCTTGGCTATCCTGTCATCAGACATTCTCAAGACATTACCAGTCCACCGTCACTGAGACTATATGAGAAAAGTCTCGATTCCTCCAATATTACACCTGTTAAACAGGTCTACGTTAGATGTCCTATCTTGAAGATTGCACGCAGACATCTTTTATGGAAAACATCCAGCTGGTGTATATGGTACAACAGCTCTGTAAAACCGAATTTTCGTATCCAGTCGAATACCTGGCTCATTCCACAAGCGATGGCGAAGTTTGCCGAAAGCACTGGTAACCTTAGCAATCCAATGCATGATTTCATCATCTAAAGTTCCACTTTAATTGACTTTGCTACCAAGATAGGTGAAAGATTTTACATAGTTCAGGGCTTTGTCTTCTACTTTTAATGGTCTCTTTAGAAATTTGTAGACTGATGGTTTTTGTTTCTCATCACAGAATTGCTTCGGAGTAGGACAAGGTTGGTGCACTACTTTATGCAAAGTGGAAGACCAAAGGCTTTAAATGCAGCAGATGTTGGGCGTCCTCAATATATATAAATGAAAATTATAGAAAAATTATAATATTATTTACATTATTCGGACTATTGTCCTCATCTTTGTCGCCATATTTATTACAACGTTTCGGCCGTTGTACGCTCCGGCCTTCTACAGGTGGTTGGAATGTCGAACTGAACCCTTTATTTCGCTCACTGTTCTAGTTCCACGTTTAATGGGTGTCTGTTATCAGTTATCTCCTGGTAATTTTCCCTCTGAAAGTTCTCCACTGCCTTAACCGGGTATTGAACTCACACTCTTTGGTCCTGTTACTGGATCTAACCAACGCCTTTATCCACTATGCCATGTGTCATTGAGGACATCTGTGCATACACAGATGCGTATGAAATTCATACACACAGATGCGTATGAAATTCATATGAATTCATACACAGATGTGATGCGAAGATGTAAATAAACATGTAAATAAACATTAAATAATAATAATAATAATAATATCTGTCTATATTTCTGAAATGGAGCATTATGTACACTATTTAAATCATTCGGACTATTTTCCTCATCTTTGTCGCCATATTTATTACAACATAGCACGTGGAACTAGAAAAGTCTATCCCTGTGAGCGACATTCTAACCACCTGAAGAAAGCCGGAGCGTACAACGGCCGAAACGTTTTAATAAATATGGCGACAAAGATGAGGACAATAGTCCGAGTAATGTAAATAATGTACATAATACCTCATCTCAGAAATATAGACAGATATTGAAAGATTCTAATTTATTATATAAATTAATGTAATATATTAGTAATAAATAATAATATTAATTTTAAATATTAATAAAATAAAATATTAATATCTTAATACAAATGACTTAATATAATAATAGACACGACATTGTGAAAAAGAGGATTTTATGATGAAGTTTGAAGCTACAATTGTACATTCTTTCACATTCAGTAAGCCAATGTGCCTTAGTGACTTTACTACCTTGCTTGGGGGGAAATGATTTTAAAAAATCTCACTATAACAGTAACAGAAAATGTAACCAGTTTCCAGATCATTACTCAATGGTGAGGTACCCACTATATTGTAGTTTGTATATCTGCATTACTATTATTCACAAAATATTTTACAAATTATTTAAAATCTTTTATATGCGTGGGGAATAGTCTATTGCTGTAATGATTTTCAAGACTAGTGACTTTATTGTCTTTAATATCCAAAAATTTAAATACAATGTCAATCATTATCTTTTGTCTTCTTAATTCCTGTACTTCTTTTCTTGTCTCTCCTTAATAGTGTTTTTCTCAGATTCTCTAATATTCAGTAGCCCCTTGCGTCTTAGTGGCTTTATTGCTTTATTTGAGGTGAAATGTTTTTTTAAAAAAGGCATTGGCACGGAACCGAGACATACGAAAGGTGTTGGACAGATGTTCATCTATCCAATAACCAGATCCTGTCTTAGGAATGATCAGGATCATAAATTGTCATGTAGATAATTGTTATAATGTAGATAATAAACGAAAAAAGGTTTAAGAAATCTACATCTGATAAAAATAAATGTAAATTTTTATAAAATTTATCGTCAAATTCTTTTGTCATTCGGAAGAAGAAAGAGTATTGAAAATCCACACAGTAAATTTATGCACAATTTTTAGAAGGTTTGGAACGTTTCGGCGTCGCCCGTTTGGCGTGGCTGATTCGGTGTCAAAAAAATAATTGGAATCTTCGGCATAGCCGTTTACTGTTTCGACGTCACTGGCTTTGACCGGAGTCAAGCATTGAAAACCCCCAACTTTCAATTAGACTTTTTATTCATTTAGGGACTTAAGGATCCTATTAAAACACTAAAATACATCGCAAAAACTTTAATTCTCTTACATCATATATACAATATGTTAGATTTGAGTTTGGTACGTTTCGGCGTAGACCATCTGGCGTTGCTGTTCGGCGTCAGAAAAATAATTGGAATCTTCAGCACAGCCCTTTAAGCGTTAGACTGTTTTGACGTCATCGTGTTTGACTGGAGATACCCCCACACCCCAAAAGGATAAAAGCATTAAAAACATCCAACTTTCAATATGACCTTTTATTCATTTAGGGAATTACGGATTCTATTAAAACACTAATGGAATAATGTAAATTAAAAACTTAAATTAAAAATATTGTATTTCAAAAAAAAATTAAAAACTTAGTATGGCTATTTAATCTTAAAAATACTTCTTAATTTCGTAATTATAAAATATTTGCTTCCATTTGGAATAAAATGGCTTTGACGACTGAAAACATATGAATCTGCACTGAAGGAAATATAATATAAAAATACCTCCATTATAGAAATAAATACAATATGGGAACCAGTAAAAGGAATGCCAGAGAAAAGCAATAATAACAAAAGTTGCAATATGAGCTCTGGTAAAAAATGGTTACTGAAAACATCAGGTTTATAATACCCAGAAATTCACGCACCTATGGCACAGTGGATAAAGGCGTTAGTTAGATCCAGTGACAGGACACAAAGAGTGTGAGTTCAATCCCTGGTTAAGGCGGTGGAGAACTTGGAGAAGGGAATTAACAGGAGATAACTTATAACTGACATCCAGTAAACATGGCACGTGGAACTAG